AAAAGTAGAATTAATATAAAAAGGTCATGAAAATAATCCCAACAATTCTTTTCCCGAACACTTCATTGTCCCAAATTTTAATTCATGTTTTGTTCCTTTTTTTTTTGGATGTGGTCCCCCCGCCATCTCAAATGGATTAGGACGCAAAAATTAGAGCTAATACAAAAAGGTTTTGAAAGTAATCCCCACCAATTCTTTTCCCTTACACTTCATTGCTCCAAGTTTTGAGATTTGACAGAGCTTTAATCTCTTACAATTTTAGTGATGTTGGACGAAGATTACTATATTTATCTGGAAAGGTCCAATATAAATCTTTAAAATATATCTATTTACATAGACAAGATCTTGTTAGCTAGAAATGACATGGGGTATGTAGAGACCATTAAGAAATGATTGTCCTCAAATTTTAAGACGAAGGATATGAGTGAAGAAAATTACATACTTGTTAAAACCCATAAAGATTGTTCAAAGTGACTTCTTACTAGGTCACAGAGTCATATACAAAGAAGATTCTTAAATGCTTTAAAATGGAGAGTTGCAACCCCATAGACACTCTTGTTTCTAAAGGCAAAACTCTTACTCTTTGGATGTTTCCTAAGATTTTTAAAGAAAAAGAAGAAATGCCCATAGGACGATACTCCATAGTTGGGAGCGTTTTATGTTTGCTATAAAGTGTCCCCGCCCTAAATTTTTTTATATCATTGGTCTTATTAACGGGTATCAATCTAATCCCATAAGAAGTCAATGGATATCTGAATACCGCTAGTGATTTCTTATGCTATCATGGAAATGATTTGTACTTAAAATGATACACAGATGCTGATTGGGATAAATACCTAGCTGAGTACAAATCAACTTCGAGATATGCATCATTACTTAATATAGCACCATCTCATGGAGTAAAAGTAACACATGAATTTCATTGTCTACAATGGAAGCAGAAATATGTGGCATGTGCTTCACTATTACAAGAAGTTATTTGGTTAATGAGATTCTTTCAGCAACTAAGAATAATTAATGAGATGTGGGACCTCCATTGATTTATTATGATAGTCAACCTACCATTGCGTATGCTAA